AAAGGACAGGCTGTAGAAATGTAGAGAGTAAGCTGCTGGTGTCCAAGCTCAATTTCAAGCAAGACTTGGTGAATATGGAAAGATCCAAGTCTGACTGAATTCAAAGAAAAAGAAGTGAAAAGAAAAGAGTTTATTTATAACCTTACTCCTGACTTAATGTTGTTTTTACTTTATTTTTTCCTTTCCCTAATTTTTTATTTGTTTTACATTCAATCATTATTTCATAAGACACATTTTAGATACAAAGCCAGGTATAAGCAAATAAAAGGAAACTAAAAACACTCCGATGGTCAGAGGTGAGTCTCACTTTAATACGAGAAGCTGGAATTCAAAGTGTCTCCATTGAGCTTTAATTGAGAACAAGATGTTGAAGATGGTTAGGAGGCTTTGTGGTTGATATGGAGTGGTTATCTATTGAGATTGTGGAGGTTAGGGTTTGATAAGTAGTTCTCATCTTGGGATAATTTTGTACCAAGGGGACACTAGGCAATGTCTAGAGACAGTTCTGGTTTTTCCAAAACACAAAGGTGTGTTTGTGTGTGTGTGTGTGTAATACTCCGGATGTCTAGTGCCAGGGATGCTACTGAACATTTTATAATGCATGAAATAGCACCCACAGCAAAGAATTATCTGATCCAACTGTTAGTATTGCTGAGGCTAAGAAACCTGGGATAGTTAAACTACTTGTAAGAATGATGGAAGAATGAGAATGGTAGTAGATATCTGGAGAACCATTGAAAAAAGTGGAGAAGGAGGACCCACCCAGGGCATGGGCATGCCAGATGATGGGAGATTCAAAGATGCACATTTGTGGGTGGTAGTTTGTGAGAAAATGGAGGAGTCAGTCCATGGGGAACTCGACTTGGGGTACAAATTTGTAAAGGATTCCTGGCTTAAACTCTTGTAAAGCAAATACAGGGAGAATGAAAGCAAGGGATTTTTATAAGAAAGCATATGCTATTTTCCACTTGCTTTTGAAGTCGCATTTCAGTTACCCTTAAAGACTTTATAGCTCTTCCCTTTGAAGTTTCCAGATAAACGCAATGAAGATTAATACTGGTTTGAAGGAATAGATCTCTGACATGGGGACGTTACATGAGAAGTCCTTGTTTTCTCCATAATCTTCCATGGTTCTTGCATTTCTCATGTTTTCTTTTCTTTTGGTTTTCCCAAAACAGATAATACCAGTTACCTCTTCAGGTCAAACTCATAGAGCTGACTGTCTCTTCTGTCTACACCACATGTAAGACGTACTCTCTGTTTTGGTTTAATTAAAATGGACCTTCTAAACAATTGTGACCTTCACTACATCATTTCTTTAGTACTACACTACTGAACATTTATTTCCTTTACATGATACACCATTTACAATCCCTGCCTTTTGGAATACTGAAGGAGTTGGAATATTTGATAGGTTCTGAGACCTCCTAATCCATTTTTTATTTGGATGGCTAGATATTCTTTTCACACTGACTTAATAACACTGAAAAAGAATTGATTTAACTTCTTTTTCTGCATATCAAATTGGCTAAACCTTTCAATTCTGTACAGGAAAGTCAATACTGAATTGCTTTTAAGATAATATCAATTTATGTGATGCATTCACCTATAGTTCAGATGGATTGCAAACAGGTCATCTGGGCCATACACACTTCCAGACTCCTGTGCTCTGCACTTAATATTTCATAATGTTTCATAGAAAATTCCAAACAGATTACCATCAAATGAAAGTTGATGGCTCACTTGTTGAAGATCACAAATAGACTAATTTATTTTAATTTCCAAACCTCATATATCTTCTAATAAATCAGACGTACAAAGGAAGACATGTGTCTTTTAAAAAATTAGTACTACGTGGGGCGCCTGGGTGCCTCAGTCAGTTAAGTGTCCGATTTCAGCTCTGGTCATGATCTCATGGTCCGTGAGTTCAAGCCCCACTCGGGGCTCTGTGCTGACAGCTCGGAGCCTGGAGCCTGCTTCAGATTCTGTGTCTCCCTCTCTCTCTGCCCCTCCCCTGTTCATGCTCTGTCTCTGTCTCAAAAATAAATAAACATTAAAAAAATTTTAAAACAAATAAAAATAAATAAAAATATGCTATACATTCAGAAAAAAAAAATTAAAAGATTAAAAATTAGTACTACAGGAATGAGAAGGTATTTAAATAACTCCCCTCCATCTTCAGTCTCAGTACTTAGAGTTCTCCTAAAATAATAATAAGACTAATGATAGAAGAACAAAGACAACGATATAGAACTTTCTAGCACCATGTGTCATCTATGTGTATTATCATAGAGATCTGTAACTACTTTAGGTTCATAATATTTATTCAATTCAAAAAAGGGATTAACGTTCTCCCCTACGCAGATGAACAGTTACAGCTTTTAGCACTTTAGTAAGTGATTGGACTAATCCACATTCAATTGCATGCTTCTTGCAAACATTTTGACAACGTTTTATGTACAAGCAGTAAGTATATTATCATTTTAAAAATATATCTTCTCTTTCTGGTGAAATTAAGGAAGACACATACTAGTTATTTTACATATATCAACAACATTTACCTTAACAAATGATTTAGAAAACTTACCAGCAGGCACTTGATACATACTTGCTGAGGAGCGCCTGGGTAGCTGTTGGTTAAGTGTACAACTCTTGATTTTGGCTCCGGTCATGATCTCATGATTGACGAGATGGAGCCCCGTGTAGGGCTCCGTGGGGACAGCGCAGAGCCTGCTTAGGATTTTCTCTCTCTGCCCCTCCCCCGCGCAGGCACACTCCTGCACTCTCAACATAAATAAACTTTTTTTTTTAACATTTATTTATTTTTGAGAGACACAGAGGGGCAGAGTATGAGCATGGGAGGGGCAGAGAGAGAGGGAGACACAGAATTCAAAGCAGGCTGCAGGCTCCGAGCTGTCAGCACAGAGCCTGAGGCGGGCCTGAACTCACAAACCGTGAGACCATGACCTGAGCCGAAGTCAGGCGCTCAACTGTCTGAGCCACCCAGGTGCCCCTCAAAATAAATAAAGTTTAAAAAAAATACTTACTTGTTGAATGGTTGTGGTTGTGACATAAATCAATCTAATGGCAAATCTAATGGCACCATTAAGAAAGAGATTATCTTCACTGACTTTTCAAAAAACAATTTTACTATTTTTAATTACTTGATTTGCTTTAATTTCTTCACATATCACCTTTTTAAAAGCTTTTCATGAGAAGCACAGTACTGTGCAATTCTATTTCAAGCAGTCTGGACTCCCACACCACTGCAAATTCTTTACTCATCTAGCTACTATTTGCATATGGATCCCTCAGAGGTTTATAGCATTCAATCCTTTTCTAACCTACATGCCTTTCTGGGTCATTGGGGAAATGATTTAGCTCTCTGGTGAGCTTATTAATAAAGAAGTCAAATGTACTGGAATAAATAAAAAACTACCAAGTAGGCAATGCTCACCTTTGTTCTTTTCATAGGTGTTTACATGACTACTTTCTACAACATTAAATTTGCAGTTGTGGCAAAAAAGTGACTTCTGTCTTAAAATTGCATATTACTTGTGTTGTACTTGAAGAGATACTTTAACAAAAGGTCAGTTGGGTGTGGGTTGTAATAGAGCAACAACACTTCCATTGGTATAAACTCTCGCCATGCTAGACCAATAAAAGCCATAATGTGAAAATATGAATGAATAAACCCCCAAATAATTCTCAGTGCACTTTAGGATTCGTTACATGGTCTTTTAAATCTGGCTTGTCTTTTTACGTACCTACTGCTTGCGTTAATAATAAAATTAATTTCTGAGTAACATATTGGTCGGGCACTTCTTGAAAACAGGAACCACATCTTATCTTGAAACAACCAAAGCACTTAGCCCATTGCCTTGCATGTGGTAAGTCCTAAATGAATTCTGAATGAATATATCCTTGGATGGGTGAGGAAAAGATGTAGAAGTTGAAGACAAGACTGACCAAGGAAATCAAAATAAAAGATCATCAATACTTCTTCATTTTAAATTATGAATATTTGATATTGGGTCTTACCAAATAAAGAAGGCAGAAATCATCTACTTTCTCAAGCTATCCCATGAGAATAAACTATTTCAACCCATATTGTAATTCAAACTTCTAAATGAAGATTTTTACATTAGTTTATTATTATAATAACCTGTTTTGTTTTTTTCTTTTCCAGACATAGGACTCTAAACAACATAGAAAAGGTCCTCAACTATCTTTCTGCTCATTCATATGAACTGTCATTTTATTGAGTCCATATTTTCCAACAAAAGGATAATTTGTTTCACTGTACTTTGGGAAAGTCAGGGAATGAGATTCAAAGAATTGTAGCAGGATTGATGATTAGCTATCTTTCTAAACTATTTGTATATATGCATACATGTTGCAACCAAAGATACAAAATAAATGAAAAGTTTGCAAAGTAGGTGTGCATGCTTTATCAAATCAGAAATAAAATTTTATAAGGATGCCTAGGGGCACGTGGGTGGCTCAGTCGGTTAAGCGTCTGACTTCCGCTCAGGTAATGATCTCGCAGTTTGTGAGTTCGAGCCCTGAGTCTGGCTCTGTGCTTACAGCTCGGAGCCTGGAGCCTGCTTCGGATTCTGTGTCTCCCCACATCTCTCTGTCTCTCCCATGCTCATGCTCTGTCTCTCTCTGTCTCTCAATAATAAACATTAAAAAAATTTATAAGGATGCCTATATTTTTATGTTAATAGTGCTACCCTTTATAAAAGCGAAGCAAATTTTAATAACCAATGATTTTCTACTGAAACAATATTTTCTTTTAACCATCCCCAATTGAACTAAACAATATATTTCTGGTATAAATGATTTTTTTTTAATTTTGAAGAGATCTTGTTAAAATATGTATTTTAAGTAAACATGTGTCCTTATTATCCAATTACACATTAGCAACAACTTGCAACAGTTACAGTTATATTTCAGATCTGTAAAAGCATGTAAATAATAATGTAGGAACTGCTAACCTTGAGATCTCATGAACTCCAGTATCTTCCTGAAGACTCTATGCTTCTGAAAACATCATTTCAGTCAGTTGATATCTCCTTATTTTTTCCTTAAAAAAGAAAACATGTCTCAATATGTCACATAAGGTTGTATTTTCAAAGAACACAGCTAACTACATGGTATAAATATAATGTGACACAGGAAAATCAATAGGAATCGTGGAATATAAACAAGGCATTAAATACAGAACTAAATGATCAGACTGTATATAATTTAGCAGAAAGAATATCCATCCTAGAAGAAGAAATTAGCAAATTTCTAATCAATGAACACATATTACTATGGGAATGAAGTTAAGGAAATTCCATCTTATTAATCAGCATTACACTAGATTTTAATAACTTTCCAGTCTCCAGGAGTTTCATTATCTTAAAGACAAACAAAAATCCAGAAAAAACAACCAAAATGTCATAGCTAAATCATTGATAACAATCAGGATAAATATTTATTATGTTTTTTGATTTGCTTAAAGGAAACTATTTAATTATAAAATTATATCAAACATTAATATGTCCTGGTTTTAAGATACCTTACTTAGGCTTTTAAGAAAAATCTTGTTTTTAAAATTACAGTGCCATAAATTAAAATGATTAGTGCAATAATTTTAAAAGGTGATGACATCCTCACAACAATTATATCCTTGAATTTTCTCAAACTAAAATGTATATAATCACTTTCTCTAAGGAATTAATGAAATTTCCATTCTTTTTTATTTGTCATATACAAATATAAAAGTTTTCCTTAGAGATGAGATAGAGAAATTTGTGAAGTGTGGTTAATGTATTATTTCCACAGTAGCCAGAAGTGAACACAGACCGTAACCAATAATAATACGTAGTATAGAAAACCTGTAAATGGGTTACTTGAATGAAGAAATAGCCTGAGTAAAGAACATAGGCTGTTTTGTTCATACAAGCTTAAAACATCAAAATCTTTAAGGAAAAAAAAAATGCCTTAGGAACATTGTACATCTGGAAGCTTCTTTCTACCTTTAAACATTATGTATATTTATACAGATATGCATGGATACATGGATTTAGAACAGACTAGAGTATCTGTGGTACTCATAAGTTTTATCAAATTATGGTTAGAATTATAGAGCTAACTAGAGGGGCACCTGGGTGGCTCAGTCAGTTGAGCATCTGACTCTTGATTTCAACTCAGGTCACAATCTCACAGTTCATGAGATGGAGCTCCAGATCAGGCTCTTGAGCTGTCAGCAAGGAGGTTGCTTGGGATTCTCTCTCCTGCTCTCTCTGCCCCTCCCCCATTCATTTGCTCACACTGTCTCTCTCACAATAAACATTTACAAAAAAAAAAAAGGAAGAATTATAGAGCACATTAGAGGTTACTGAGTCACTTTGGTTAGCAGAAGAATTTGAGAAATTTTGGAAAGATTGATTCAAAATTCAATTTTAAGTATAATTTTAAGTATTTTAAACTCTGTTGACAACATTATACCCTCAAATGATGACATACTAAAGACCACTGAAACAATTATTTCTATCACCTGTTGCACTCATTTTGAGGTATATTTCAGAATATAACTTCTTCTGTTTTCTCTGATAAATACATATCCTAAGATTGCAGGTCAAGCAAATATACTAACAGATCTCTACCTGCTTATAATCTGTCCAACGAATTAAAACTTTAAAAATTATTTGCAATTAAAACAAAATACTAAAAATAAATAGATGCTGAGTTGACTATGTCTATAAATGTCATTCATAATCTCAACTCAAATTTTCTGGTTAATGAAGATGAATTCATATTATTTAAATGTCATTTTTAACTATGAAGGTATGGTTTAAAATTTTACCCTAAAAATAAAAAGTGTTTGTTGTTATAAAAAAAAAAGTAAGGAAATTGCTCTCTAGTTCAGTCTCCCTATTCTATACATACAAAAATTGATTGCTATATATTTGATATGCAGCTAAATTTGTAGGAAGAGATTAAGTATTTTGGGGCCACTGATTGTTAAAATTGAAATTGAAAACATAACTGTCTTTTATAACCAAATAAATAAAAGACTTTTCATAGGCATTTAAGTAGTCTATTGAAAAAAACAAAAGTATCTAAATTTACATACCTATAATTACCCTGTAATTTAGACAGAGGCCAAAGGACCCTTGGTAATGGAAAAAAGGAACCCAAACTCTGACCTGTTTGAAAATCAAGTATATAAACATATATTTGATGGACAGGATTGACCCTAACTGAGACCCGTCAAGCCCTGGGAGGAGTCCATCACAAAGCAAGAATAATTCTGGAAGAGAAAGTCATATTCTTTTTTTAAAAAAATTTTTTTTCAACGTTTATTTATTTTTGGGACAGAGAGAGACAGAGCATGAACGGGGGGAGGGGCAGAGAGAGAGGGAGACACAGAATCGGGAAACAGGCTCCAGGCTCTGAGCCATCAGGCCAGAGCCCAACGCGGGGCTCGAACTCGCGGACCGCGAGATCGTGACCTGGCTGAAGTCGACGCTTAACCGACTGCGCCACCCAGGCGCCCCGGGAAAGTCATATTCAAAGCAAAGTTCCAAGATTGGGCACCTGAGGATCAGTGCTACTTCTGGGTACAATGTGCAGTAGTTGATGCTGGAAACCATTTCAATCTAGCACCCTATTTCTGGAGATTTGACCTGGGGACATGGGCTGTGTGAGACTGTGTAAGGAAATGTGTGTGCACTTATGCGAGAGAGAATTTAAAGAGTTGTGCTAAGATCTGTGGATCAATAGCACTCACTCTGAGACCCAGTCAACTTTGTAAAGAAAAAATATCTAGGTAATATATCTCAGGAAGATCTAGGGGCTCTTATTCTTCCTCTGCAAGCCCCTCTGGGCACATCAGTGGTGGTCTACACAAGATTTGTGGGCACTGCCATTTTCCAGGATTCCAGGAATTCTGTGTCTATGAAGTAATCATGACCTGAGTTGGATACTCCTAGCATAGCCTGTTATTATACCAGTACTTGAATGGGATCCTAGTTCTATGGGTGACCTGAGCTATGACAAGTGATACCTGGGACTGATTTGTGGACAAAAAGAACCATCCCAGGCACTAAGAAAAATATTCAAGGTGAGTGAAATTTATGGAAGACTAGGAACATGTATACTACTGGAAATGCAACATTATTTGCCATCATCAATTCTTTGTGGCATTCATCTAAAGAACCCCAGTTTATGATTTTAATTACAATAAAAAATAACAGTGGCATAAATCTATGTTATCATTTAGAATTGTGCACCTAACATTTATGGTTCATATCTGGTGTTTTCTAATACCTGAGGTTCAATTAAGAAATGCCCTGAGAAATACAAATCAAAACCACAATGAGATACCACCTCAAACCTGTCAGAATGGCTAAAATTAACAACTCAGGAAGCAAGAGATGTTCACGAGGATGTGGAGAAAGGGGAGCCCTTTTGCACTGTTGATGGGAAGGTAAACTGTTGCAGCCACTCTGGAAAACAGTATGTAGGTTCCTCAAAAAATTAAAAATTAAATTACCCTATGACCTAGCAATTGTGTATTAGGAATTTATCCAAAGGATACAAAAATGCTGATTTGAAGGGGCACATGCACCCTAATGTTTATAGCAGCACTATCAACAACAGCCAAATTATGGAAAGAACCTAAATGTCCATCAACTGATGAATGGATTAAGAAGATGTAGTATATATGGGGCAGCTGGATGGCTCAGTCAGTTGGGCATCTGATTTAGGCTCAAGTCATAATCTCATGGCTGGTGTTTGAGCCCTGTGTCAGGCTCGAGCCCCATGTAGGGCTCTGTGCTGACAGCTCAGAGCCTGAACCCTGCTTCAGATTCTGTGTCTCCCTCTCTCTCTCTGCCCCTACCTTGCTCACGCTCTGTCTCTCTCTCTCTCTCTAAAAAATAAATAAACATTTAAAAATATATAAAAAAAGGGCACCTGGGTGGCTCAGTTGATTGAGCAACTGACTTCGGCTCAGGTCATGATCTCACAGTTTGTGAGTTCGAGCCCTGCATCGGGCTCTGTGCTGATAGCTCAGAGCCTGGAGCCTGCTTCGGATTCTGTGTCTCCCCCTCTCTCTGCCCCTCCCCCACTCATGCTCTGTGTGTATGTGTGTGTCTCTCTCTCAATAATAAATAAATGTTAAAAAAAATCTTTTTAAATCAAAAAGATAAACATATATTTAAAAAAGGAGACGTCAGGGGCGCCTGGGTGGCTCAGTCGGTTGAGCGTCTGACTTCGGCTCAGGTCATGATCTCACAGTCTGTGAGTTCGAGCCCCACGTCGGGCTCTGTGCTGACAGCTCAGAGCCTGGAGCCTGTTTCAGATTCTGTGTCTCCCTCTCTCTGACCCTCCCCTGTTCATGCTCTATCTCTCTCTGTCTCAAAAATAAATAAATATTAAAAAAAAAAGGAGACGTCATATATATGTGTGTGTGTGTGTGTGTGTGTGTGTGTGTATAATACTACTACTCGGTGATAAAAAATAATAAAATCTTACCACTTGCCAACACTGTGGATGGAACTAGAGGGTATTGTGCTAAGCAAAGTCAGTCAGTCAGAGAAAGACAGATATGATATGATTTCATGCATATGTGCAATTTGAGAAACTCAACAGATGAACATAGGGGAAGGGAAGGAAAAACAAGACAAAAACAGAGAGGGAGGCAAACCATAACAGACTCTTAAATACAGAGAACAAACCGAGGGTTGCTGGAGGGGAGGCGGGTGGAGGATCCATTAAATGGGTGATGGGTATTAACGAGGGCACTTTTCAGGATGAGCACTGAGTGTCATATGTGAGATGAATCACTGGATTCTACTCTTGAAGCCAAGACTACACTGTAGGCTACCTAACTTGAATTTAAATTAAGAAGAAAAAAAAAAGAAATTCTCTGAAACCCAGTTTTTCACTTTTAGAAATTCCTACAGTATTGCAGAGCTAGAGGGAATAATGAATATCACCTCTCCTTGTTTCAAGTTCCTTGGCTTCCTGGTTGCCTATGGACATTACTGCAAACCACCCTCCAAATCCTAGCGGCCAATTGGAGTGGCA